TCCCCGTTTGATCTTCATTATAATTTAATATATTTTTTTCTCTTCTTATTTTAACAATACATTTTTTAATAAAATAATATTATACGTATACTTAAAACATTTACATTTTTCTTAACCACATATTCTAAAAATAAATCATTATTCTAACATACATTATTCTCGTGAAACACATTGTAATTACCAAGAAGGCCTGTACGTGTAGGGACAAATTGTCCCATTCTATTGTGACGGCCAAGTCAATCTGTGAAAATTGACTGTATTGGTCAACTTTCTTTGATTAGCCGCCCCTCGATTAACGCTGTTCACTCTTTCGTTACTGTGATAATGTTAATTATTGGGTATCTTATTTTTATCTGGTTTCTTCAAATAAATACAATCTATTACACAGTGATTTTTACTTAGTAAAAAATATTAATTTGATTGTGAACATGAAATTTGTATGGAAATAAAATAAATTTTAATCAAGTTATTTGTTTGAAAATTATTAATTAAATATATTTAATTGATTTAATTTTTAATCAAAAAAATATCATACTTAACCATTTTTTTAATTGGTGGGTAGATGAGGGATAGGGAACAGATGAGTGAAAAAAAGAAAGAAAATTACCTGAAAAATAAAAGTTACCCCTTTCGAAAGATGAAATTTTGCTCTTTATTTTACTTTTTCCAACATTGATTTATTGTTTTCCCTCATTTTTATATTATCGTATATTTTTAGATGCCAATAGCTAAAATATTGTATATATTATTAATAATTTAAATAGTAAAGTATTAATACTTGCAATATTATTAAATGAAACCTCGATACATTATAAATAAAGTGTGAATTTGACTCTCCAAATGTAAAGAGTCAAATTCAGTCTCAATTTTAAAAAGTTAAAATAAAGAGTCTCTTAAATGTTTGATTTTTTAAAATAAAGAGTATTTCAATCTAAAGAACGTGTTGGAGATGTCCCAACAAAGATAAATTAGATGTACTCATTGGTACTATCAAAAAGTCTCATGCTTATATTACTTTTACTGATTGTTTGATTATCTTGGACTACAATAATCCTAGTCGTGCTTCTGATTGTCATTCCTCGTGTATTTCTCTTTTTGACATTTTCAAATTGCACCCATGTCATAGCTCGTAAGGTATTTTGAGGTATACAATTCAATATCAGGACAGTAGGAAAAAAATATGGTACTCCATATAGATTTCTCTGATGAGCGTGATTCAACTAATTATTATTTTTATATTTTGTATTAATTATTAGATAGAAAAAATATTAAATTATGCAAAATAGAACATGATATTTTTAATGAAATTTTGTTAAATGCCGGAGGTTATTAAGCCCCTGTTTGTCTACCATTT